GTCTGACTGGAGACGCATGAAATCTGGAGACTTTCAAAACAAAAGCCTCCTCGGTTTGCCTGCTGAGTGCCGTTGTGGGGGTGCAGGGCCGTCCACAAGCACTCACCTTTTTTTGGTGTGTCCCAGGCTGGGGGTGGGCGAGCCCCCGGAGTCCTCCGACAGAGAGCGCTGGAACAGCGGGGACAGCGAGTCTTCGTCCTCCAACCGCAGACAGGGGGACACTGGAGGGCTGGAGCGGGGACTGACGGCCGGACTCTGCTCCACGGGGCCGGCCCCGCCCTCCTCTACTTCTATGGGAACCAGGCTGCAGTCCACATCCGTAGGGGTGGGGCTGTGACCCGGACTGGGCCGGTCTTCCTCCACAGGATCAGGATCAGGATGATGGGACTGGGATGGAGGGCTAGAGGCTAGGGGCGGAGCCTCTGAGTGGAGTCTGTCCTCCACCTCCCCCTCCTCAGCACTCGCAGCCAGCTCAGGGTCGGGGGGCACCGGTCCTGGATCCGGGTCAGGGTCAGGATCTGGACTGGGCTCGTCCTGGGCAGGTTCAGAGCTTGTTTTGGATTTTCTCCTGGAGGTGGAGCGCTGCCGCCGCGTGGTCTGAGCCTTCACCTCTGTGGACACACACACAGTCACACACATATGCAGGACACAGGTGCATTGTGGGTAACATAGGCACCATCACACGTTCTTAATCTCCAGCCCGACACCATGTTTTACGTCAGAGCGGGTGAACAACATTGGTGTAGATGTCCTCGTGTACCTGAGCAGGTGAGGCTGCGTCTGCACGTACACGACGTTTTCCATCACTGAAAACTGATTTTAAAAACTCTGTTTTTGTGTTTACATGTGGACGAGGAAAACAGAGATGACTCACGCAACCTCAAATGTTTGCATCGTTTGTGACGTCATGCAGCGCGCCGCGGTATTGTTTACATGAGATGCATTTCTACAACGGTGGATAGACACAAAGCGTAGCTGCTAATCTGACTGTCTGCAGTTTTTACACAGACAGGCGTCAGAGTGAACGACACAGGCGCTCTCAGCCCGAATCCTGACATCGGTTTGGAATAAATTCAAATGTTTTAAATTAGAACGTATGTGTGCATTTGGTTCAATCCTGAGTTGTGAGTCTACACCAGCGAGAATACTGTTTTTGGTTATTCACATTTGAAACACAAAATTAGCGGCCTTTCGAGAAAAACAAAAACTTTCCAGAAGTCCTTGAAACCCGTTTACTCTCCCAGGCTTCTGATTGGCCCACATTTGTACACGGCTAGGATTTGTCATGTTCTTGACAACGTTTGACTGCGTTTTTGGCGTTTACATGTGGACAAGATTCTTTTAAAAACGGAGAATCTCAGTTTTGAAAAACAGCCGTGTACGTGTTGACGTAGCCTCCAACACTCAGACCTCGTAGCCTCAAACAC